AAAACATCCTGGCTAATCATAATGTTTAGATGATGGAGTAGTATTCTAGTATGTTTTAAACAGGCTGTTTATTTATTAGTTATTTTAATCTTCTGAATAGCTAAATAATAAGTTATCGACACGATTAGCTTCTGCGAACGGCAAATTGTAACGCTGCGGAAACCGATAACCCCGACGGTAGTGGTGACCCTGCTATCAGTACCTATGGTGTTAGGGCACCGCTGGTGTGCAATAAAAGAACCAGAAAATACTCCGACCTGGTATGTTTCTGACTGTAGAATATTAACTACTTTAGGTACTGCCTAGGGTCAATGACTGACTCATCAAGAAATCTCAGAAACTACAAGAGCTAGGAGCCTCAAGTTTTGTGTGGGGGTTCCTTTTAGATCGCAGGTGCTCACTAGGAATGGATTTTGCAAAATTCAACCTCTGAGGGGGTAAAACGGGATTTACGCGTAGGATGTCGCGGGCGGCTACTTAGTGCTTTTTAACTCTTTAAATCCTTATCTTATCAGCACTTAGGTAATACTTGCCTGATTAATTTGCCAATAACGTAAAGGCGCTTCAACACTTGTCTTGGCATCTGCACCTTTACGAACTCCCAGTAAGTATACAGTATACAGACAAGTACCTATTGAAATATTAAAATATCCACTAGCGATTGTAAGAATCCTAATAATGCTTGCTTAAGTGAAACAGCAAATCGAACGCACATCGTTTGAGCTCTGTGATTGGTTCGTGTGTGACCTTGTGCATCCGCGCGCACTGTGAGACCTCATAGTAATGTTTGTGAATACGGGCGTAAGATTAGTCTGCGCGAAAATCTTGCTAAATAAAAAGTAATTCTCTAAAAGTACGAGTATAAAAAGAAAACAGATGGCGTTAGTATACACTCTTTTTATTTATCCGTTCAATGACCTCTTGTTGTGACGGCCACAGTCTCTTGCCTAGTAGTCTAAGAGCTAGTGAACGCCAGACTTACGTCATTTTATGGCTTTGGGCTTGCCAGGCAGTTTTTTTAGGGTAGGTAGCTCCCAAAGCCACCACGACCCAAACTTCATAATTCACCAACATTATCCCAACTAATATTATAAATGCGAAAGTAACTCTGTCTGTCTGTCTGTCTGTCTGTCTGTTACGCTTTCCCGCTTAAACCTCGCAACCGATTTTGATGAAATTTGGCATAGAGATAGTTTGAGTCCCGGGAAAGAACATAGGATAGTTTTTATCCCGGTTTTTGAAACAGGGACGCGCGCGATAAAGTTTTTCTGTGACAGACAAAATTCCACGCGGGCGAAGCCGCGGGCGGAAAGCTAGTATCCTATATTGGGAGCATACGCTGACAAACTTTCAGCTTTTATAAAATGACGTAGGTCTGGCGTTCACCAGCTCTTAGTCTATAGATTTTTAAGATTTAAAAGGTTTCAGTGAACTTTGTAATCCAGACTTTAACACCTCCGCATTTAAGCGGCGAGATTTCGACTTAATTCTTCATCTAGTGGTGTTTGATTACACTGCAAGATGGGAAACAAAATCTTTTGGAGTAATTTTGTATTTTTGGTAGGACGTTTCAGTCTTTTTTTATCCAGAACAAGGCACCTGGTGTTATGTGACATGCAGTCTAGGTACATACCATTTAATCTAGCCTTTTTGGATCTTTTGAACCGTTACAAACTTAGTTCATATTTTCACAAAATAATTAGATAAATTCTATTGCCTCTATGACAACAAAATAATAAAAATGAAAGTTAATATTTAATTGAACGTGTACATTTCAATAAAATAGAGGTTTATTTTATTAAATGGTACGGAACCCTTCGATACGAGCCCGTCTCGGGATTGACACTCTAGGTAGTGATATTATTACCCTAATTAGATCCGTCAGACCTGATGTGTGCTCGGGTGAGCCATGGCATCTGGTGACCAGCCCTCAACCATAAAATACTGACCCTAAAACTTCGGAATAGTTAACACCTTGGTGAAAAAAATGGTATTACAAAAAAGGCAACTTATTAACTTACATGATTTTAAAACACTGAAACTAAATTACTTTTCCATTTTTTTGATCTGATGTTTTGAAAAACAGTTTTGACTTTTTAAATTAATATTGTGTTCCGTTTTCATTTTTAATTCAGTGGCTATATTTTATGTCTTACTAAAGAATAAAAATAATTAAATCTTTTGTACCGCTCGCTAAAATTACTTTTAAAATTCAACTGAGATATTAGTTTCCTTGTTTACTGCAATAAGAAAAGCTACTTCTATTTTTTACAAAAATATTAATACTATAAAATAGTAGTAATAGGTACAAAATGTACCCGTGTCATGGTCGATTAGTATAATGTATTTGCCACTAGGTATAACGAAAATTATTTTCTTGCGCGTAAAACTTAGATTAAAAATAAAAGAATTGTTAAAAAATGTGTTTTACACTTATTACACGTATAATATTATTATTAGGGTTTGCTCCCGGGAAATCCCGGTACTCATTTTTCCCGGGAATTCCAGATAATCTAATCCTTTATCTAGTTCCGGTACTGACGATGCAATTCCCGAGAATTTCGGTACTTTCGGGACTTCAATAATTTATTTTTGAATAACAATTTTTTGACTAGATGCCATCATCTTTTTACGTACACACTATCAACAAATGAAAAAATATTAATTATGTTCCTAATTCATTACTATCCTTTTAAGACTGATTGTTTTATCTGATTGTACTTAGGTACTACTTATTATTTATTATAATAGCGTGTTTTTTTATAAACCTAATTTAGTTAATTTATGTTTTGTCCCTAACTCTTGTCGCTGCCAGTATTTGACATTGATAGAAAGTGAGAAAACATATTTTAAATAACAATTCACGTGGGTACCGAAATTCCCGAATTTCCCGGTTTTCCCGGTACTGGCTTAGACCTGGTACCGGTAATTCAGTAACACTCCTTAGTACCGGGACTTGCAACCCCTAATTATTATGTTTATCTGTATTGTGGCAAAAAAATGCACTTTACAAAAAATTACGCACTTTCGGACTTGCATTATCTATTAATTTTGTCAAAGTTAGACAATTATTTCAAAGTGTGATGAATTAAAGTTACGGCTTGCCTGGAAAAGATAGCTTTGTGAAACTGTAAAAAATATTCCTTCAATTGTCAAGTTGCATATTTAGTTTCTATCTATCTAACTATTGAATGCAATTGACAGAGATATTAGATACAAAATCGGCCATAGGTCACGGGGTTAAGATTTGTGTTTGGTCTAGATAGATTGGCCCCGATCGGTCTAGACTTTATATAATAACAGCGAACCAATTAGCGAGGTAATGTATCCATTTAATTGAATTGAATTAAGCTATTAGCTGTCCCAATTCAATTGTACGATCTTGTGATTTTAAACAATTAATTCAGATCTGTAATTAAGCTATAACTTTTTGCGGGCTAGATTTGCGCCATTTATCTCACATAATAATAATATATTTCTGCCAATCGCACTGGTTAAAGTATCTAGTTTAGCCGAAGCAGTGCTAGAAAATAGTTTGGTAACTACTCACACTTAAGGCCCAGTTTTTTGATTCATAGTTAAAATAACAAATTGTTAAATTTTGCTACTAATGGTTAAATATTAACAAAATGTTATCTAATAGTTAAAAAATGTACTAAAAGTCAAGCTAACCATTGTTCGAAAAACATTTTTTTCTGATATTTAACCACTTGTCATTTGACATCTGTCAAATTTGACCATTGGTTATTTTAACTACGAATCAAAAAACCGGGCCTTAGCGGGGAAGTGAAACATCATCGTGCTTGGCAGTTTAATTTTCCAAAAATTGTGTTTGTGATTGTGCCCGCGTGTAGACAAATGAAATACAGTACATCATCACTTCTGATTAACATAAGAAGTTCACTCGAGGTCTCAGTAAGTGTCACATATTCACTGAAGCTTTACGCAAGCGGGGGACATCATCTGTCAAAATTTTCATTCATTAGATTAGATCATAACATTATTTAAAAAGACTTTACCTAATGAAATACTTAGGCTGAGTTGCACCACCTAACTTGTAACTATGACGATAACCGATGTTTTTTGTATGGAGATCGTCAATTTTTTGACGTTTGTCAAAGTTAAAGTAAGATGGTGCAATCCAGCCTTATAGTTTGTTTTATAAGTGGAATACATGCTTACCACGTTATGTAAAGTTAACGTTTTTTATGTTGAACGCAAACAAATAAGGATCAGTTAATACAGCAGAAAAAGTGTACCTGCGGTTAGTTACATAAACTAGCGTTCCTCGTAAGTTTTCTTGCTGCAGTTCGGCCTCGTTGTAGGTCTGGCTAAAGTCTAGACAGCCGACGAAGTTACCTGGTTAACCCCGACGATGTTTAACAACTTAGTGGGTTCTCTTCGGTAACTTAGTTTAACTCTTTGGAGGGCAATGCCGTTGGATTCTAATGAGAGTTACTGCGCGAGTTTATACTAATATGAGATCTTTACTGGGACTGTAATGATTGATTTTATATTAGTTCTATAAAATCAATCATTTACAACACTTGAAATGTTATAGTCTAAGCTAGACTCTAGCCTTTAAGATGAGTCTTTAGATCACTTTAGGACTCCATTAAGTTTTACGTTTAACGACATAACATTGAATATTGTTATATTAGTTTACATGAAAATGCTACGGCTATATTGTCACGACTCAACTACTATCCGTTCGCTTTACGTTTGCCGCTGGCGATAGGACGTCACTCGAAGGGAAGCGTCTATAACTTTATCTTTATCAAACTATATTTAAAATATTTTTTATTTATTATATTGATAAAATATGTATTTGCGAAAATAAGACACACTAATTGCGTTTATTCGCGGTTGGGAGAGGGGACGCGCATTCCACGGACCGGCAAACTTAGCGCGAACGGGTAGTAAAATTCTATGGTTTATGTTGGCAATACTCAACTCTAAATTGTTTTTATAAGCACACTAACCTTGTCCTTTCGTTTCAGCAACAGAGTGAGAGGTACCTATCTTCGGCATACGAGGGGGGAGGCGAGCTGTCCCCCGCGGCGCCGGCGGCGTCGCCGGGCTCCCCGCGCGATTGCACGTCGTGCCGCAAGCGCGAGCCCCCGGACGAGCCCCCGGTGCCCCCGGCCGAGGAGCCCTGCGCCGGCTGCGGCGCCCGCATCACCGACCGCTTCTACCTCCTGGCGCTGGAGCGGCGTTGGCACACCCCCTGCCTGCGGTGCTGCGAGTGCAAAATGCCGCTGGACTCGGAGCAGAGGTGCTATGCGCGGGACAGCAGCATCTTCTGCAAGAACGATTACTTCAGGTATGTGGATGAGCTTTTTTAGCGGAAATCGTCTAAGGCTTGGCGCAAATGGGCCACCGACCACAGCCACCGGTGGCCAGCGACGGCGACTTTTAACACACTTTTTAATATATTTTGTATAGACGCGCCACTCGCTACAGTAGTGCCCGTGACTCGCTACTATACTAAAAGTAAAACATCTTAGACTAAAAGTATTTTTATTTATTTTAGGAGTGAAATGCTTTTAGAAGGTTGCCTTAACCTGTATAAGAAATCAAGTTTCGGTTTTCTATGGAATATGCTCCTGGCAGAAGTAAAATAACGGCAGTCGAAAAAAAAAACACCAACTGGTTAGAGACGTTTTTAAGGACCACTAAACGAATATTTTTAAGCTCACTGGTCATCGTCTGATTAGTTTGAACGTTGAATTAAGTAGGTACCTATTATTATCATTCATTTATTATAATTTGATATTGTCTATCTTTGACTTTGGCCAGTCAGCAACGTTGCCATTATTATTTCTTTACATCGTAACAAAGGACTCTTGAACCGTACACGTGTTATTTTCACGAATTAAAGTTGGAAACAAATGAATTTATTTATAACAATACAATACAAAAATCCTTTAAAGCAAATAAAATAACCTTTTTATTCGTAACTCGCGCTATTCCAATATTCGGAGGCACGGAAAAATAACGATGGTGTTTCCATGAATTGAAAGCATTTAATTCGTTTTTGGAAGTTGTTTCGTTATTGGATTGCAACGTAATTCCTGATGGAAAACTGACAGTTCATGTGTTGAGGATTTTTATTTTTAGGAATATGCGGACATTTCTATTCTATTGTAATTGAACGGCAGTTATTTTTCGCTAAAATAACTGTTATTAATTAGAGCGTTAAAAATATATTTATTTGTGAATAATCTGAAATAAATGGCGTTTACGATTTATGAAATTTCGTATAATACCCAATGAGTTTTTAAATATGTGACTCAGGAATTAAGTCATTTAATTTTGGGTAACTTAATGTGCTCATTTACAAAAGCAAATAGAGCTTTTCTTTCTTCATCTCACTCTTTAAAAGTTAATTATTTTTTCGAATGTAAGTACTGTTCAGAGATGCAAATCGCCTGTTTTCCCTGCTACGTTTGCCGTATAAAGGGACTGGGCGCTTTACTAGTTTATTAGGAACAGAATTTAATACTCTAGATGAGAAAAACATAACATGAATTTACGTCCATATTAAACAAGATTAAGGCGAATATAAACGCCTTATCTGATCTTAGACGGTCGATGTTAAAATCTAAAATAAAAGTATTTTAATAATTAAATATGAAATAGGTCTGATTCGTGCCAATCGCCTCAGTTTTACTGCGGCGTCTTAGGGTTGGCAACTTTTGCTTTGTTCTTCTCTATAGGCAATATTTTTAAGATAACTTCTTTAAAAGCATCAGTAGTCCTGAACACGTTATAAGTACCTAATTACTTAGAAATGAGGGTTTTCGCGATTGAAAAATCCGCCAGATGGCAATACGTAGACGCGAGATCCAAATGCTGCATGATTGGTTATTTTTGACATGACATTGACAGATATGTCAAAATCCATCCCTCATTGAGGTGGCAAGTAAGTGACTTAATTTTTTCCTAATAAGTAGTACAAAATTCACAAGGGAATCGCGTTTTGCCAGTTTACAAAAAGTATGTCAATCGATTGGTGGTAGCTACCTAATTATACATAGATACGTGCGGCACGATGGTTCAAATCATCAGGAATATTATGCTCAAAAACATTATTTATAAGGGAGAAACATTTTGAAAAGACACAAAATATATTATATTTTTTTAACCAAAAAAGATTTACCAGTGTATGTTACAATACTTGCAACCACTGGGTAGATACTTGTTACAACTATCGTACCACTTAATTTCAGCTCTCTATTGTCTATAGCGAATAGATAATGATATTATCAACATATTTACCCAGCGAGATCCAAACCCGCTGCAGCATTCGTTGAAGATGTCGCCAGAGTTTAGTTCTTGAACTTCTAAGTGCCAGCCCTGCATTTAAGGCGTCATTATATCAAGCTTTAATTGCTTTTGCACCTATTTATCTCGCGGTAATGCCCCGAGTATGCCTGGCTGCGACGTCTGTGAATGCATTTTATGGCGATCGCCACGATAAAAACACCTCGATGGATTAGTGGCTGGAGTCGTCAATAGTGCCGGGTTCGATTCCGCGAATACTACCTAGGTGTCTTTTTATTAGCGTCTGTATCAAAATTTATTAATGTTAGTTCAACGTTTAGTGAAAACGGGAACAGGCAGAGACATCTGCGTTACTTTCGCATTAAATCTTTAATAAAGTTGGAAACTTCACATTTTCTTGTGCAGGGTATGAATAAATAAACGTTTTACTCGTAATAAATCATAATAACCTCAGAACTAAAAGATCATTTGTTTTGAGTTGACAAGAACGTAATATTTCTAGTATTCAACAGTCTGCCACGTCCAGCTTGACCCTTCCATTCACCAATTTTATTAGTGGACGAGGGTCGAACTGCGCTGGTGGTGCTCAGCTTCTACGACCATAATATGATGACCGTGTCATTCATCGATCATAGAGATATATGCAGATCAACATAATGTGGTTACGCTCAGCACGAGGATCCATACTGTAGCTCGCGGATAGCAGCCAAATCATTTCAAACAAAACTCGGCATTAAAAAGGCTGACTTACACGTATTGAGTATTTAAGTATTAAGTATATTTACTTAATACTCGTAGTTTAAACTTAGCTCACTTAAGAACTTAATACTTGTAAATCAGCCAAGGTGCGTCAATAGAGAATGAATATGCGTATCAAATTGATCAACGACTTTGATTTGTACATAGGTTAGTAGAGATTCATGTTTCGAGATTCGGGGGCTATTTTTCACACACAACACTAACACGATTCACAATTCCTATCTACACGATTAGTTTCTATAGCGCCTTGTCACAAGTAATCTATATATATAAAAGAAAGTCGTGTTAGTTACTCCACATATAACTCAAGAACGGCTGAACTGATTTAGCTGAAAATTGTCAGGGAGGTAGTTTAGAGCCAGGAGAAGGACATAGAATACTTTTTATCCCGTTCGAAATTAAAAAAAGTCTGCTTATTTATTGCCATTAAGGCAGAACAAAGTTCGCCGGGTCAGCTAGTTTATTATAAAGTATAGATGTCCTGCATCATACTTAGGACTAGAAAAATAAAATTAAAACACCATTTTTGTCTAAAAAAGAGGCAATTGACTCTGTATTGCTACTGCAGATTAGTATCAGAGCGCGAATTTTTAATTTAATTGTGAAAGAATCATGAAAGCCTTAGCCCTAAAGTTTCGCATAACAAATATTTGGTGTAGTCACGGCAGTATGTCATTCGGAGTACAAACAGTAAATCACACCTGGTCCAGTGCTGTTGACAGATCCATTTTTTTTTTTTAAATCTAGTAGTTTTTAATTTTTCAGCCAGGGTCTCTCAAGATTCTTGGGGTGGCGTGACGTCACGACACCGCCTATGTTTGAATTTCACCCTAAAATATGTAGGTACCCCTCGATCGGGCCCACTAGAGTGAGCCCGCCGTAGGCTGGACTTTGGTCCAACACCGCGGTGGGCAACCCTGTTGGGTTATTCCGTATTCGACCCACGACAAACTCAACCCACTCATTATTTTCCTTACTCAACCCAATTTTGTTCCTTACTCTACCCACAACTAATTTTTAATTTTATGTTCCTTATTCACCCCAAAAACATTCCTAGCTCAACCCATTTTAAAACCACTTAAAAAATATAAGATTTTTATGTACGGTCAGAATAAAAATATATTTTTTAGAAATTTAAGCTCAGTTAATTTTTGTGTTAAGATCGTGCTATTAAATAAAACTACAGGAGTTCTGATACAATAATATATTTGAAAAACGTTTTTCACAAAAGGACACAAATAAAATAATGACTACATGCAATTAGAACTATAACTTTTCATAACAAAACAAAAAGTAGATACATTTTTTTTAAATCTTATAATAAAAATCACAGATTAAAGAGGAACCATAACTTACATAATTTGAATCTAATATAAATCTACTATAAATCCACTATAAATCTTAATAAAAGTATTCATGTGGACGGACAACTAATCCCGCGGTATAAGTTTTGAGCGGTATGATTTGACCAAAGTTTCTTAATTACCTTAAAATTTTATCATATTTTATCAAACATGTAGGTGATGTTTTTTTTTTTAAATAAAAGTAAATGTACTAGTATGTATTTATCATAATTAAATTTCTGGACAAATAGTAAACGTTGTTTTGCTATCCATACTTGTTTTTGGTATATTTACTTTGGGTTGAGTGAGGAATGCATTTGGGTAGAATAACGAAATTCTGTAATCGGTAGAGCTAGGAATACTAATTTGGGATGAGTGAAGAAATGGGTTGAGTTATCATGGGTCGAATACGGAATAACCCCTCTTGTTGGGTTCGCCACTGATCGGGCGCCTTATGCGCTCGATACGGCCCGATCGCGAACGAAGCCCACACTCGGCCTCGTCGGCACGCGCACCGACGATCGCCAAACGGCTAGAGTACCTTCTGTACTCGCCACTCTGCCCGGTGAAGCTGGAAAAGCTCCTCAAGCTACCAGCGCGCGTCCATTCAAAAAAAAATAAAAATATGTAGGTAATTTAAATAATTAATTTCTCTGCCATTTTTTGATAGATTTCAAAAAAAACTTCACCGTCTTTTTAGTTTCGGTCTATATTTTAATCCCATTCAGAGTGATATAATGTTTTCAACACCAGGAAACATCTCAATTCAACCTGCCCGTTCTCCCTGGTCTATATCGTCGTACTGTCGCGAAGCATTCGAGCAATCCTCATCGACACCTCTTGAGAGGTTCACCTGGCTATTAGTTAACAGTGCTATAAAATGTTTGCTATGACAGCCAGCTTGCAGCCAAGCCGGCCATGATTCATGGCATGC